ATATTTAACAGCAGTCTCTCTCCTCTCGCTCAGAGCTGGTGCGTGCAATTAGATCCTGCCCTCCATCAGATATACTGGATATTATTTTCTGGGAGCATCTCTCAAAATGGAGGAATGCCGCCCTGTAGCAAGTACATAATGTATCTGGGGGATTGTATTTCTGCAAGTAGACCAGGAGGTGCTGGTGGAAGGACGCGGTGAAGCAGGAAAAGAGCTGAAGAGGTGCTGAGAAGGCTCTTGTACAGGGGAGGGGGAGGAGAGAAACAAACATTGCAGAGAACAGGAAAAACGATGTGCTGGGAAATGATTAATCCACCCCAAAGGCCCTAGCTAAGAAGTGGTGGGACAAGCTCAATGATTTTTGGCAACCATGAGCTACTTCTGCTCCACTCTCAACTCCCGTCTTGTAACCAGATGTGCTTAAGTACAGCTTCATCCCATTCCTGCCCCGACACCACATCCCCCCGTCAGTGTCCTCCACTCCATTCCTGGCAGCTCTCTGGCAGCACACCCCCTCCTCGATGTGTGTTTTACGGCTGTCCCGTGTCCCTCCACCTCCAGTAAGTGTTTCTCAAGTGAGCCGGAGCACACAATCCATGCTGGGGGAAGGGGGTGGGAGTCAAGTTTAAGAACTGCTGTTCTGTATCCTGTTGTTTTCCTACCGGGATTGTTCCAGTTTCCTGCACTGTCTTATCTGGAGCTGAAAAGCCAAAGCTCTCATATTTACTTGCTTTGTGCGTGCCTTGGCTTTCTAATCTGTGAAATAGATGTTATAAGACTTAAGAGAAACATAGCTAGGACTATTACAGGGTGGAGGGACAGGAACTAAGTGGTTAAAGGGCTTTCAGTGCATATACAATTAGTTTCTTTATTTAGTTATCCTGCTTGCATAAGCCTGTGTATGTCACAGAGAGTTTCAGAGAACCTTCAGCATACCATAATGCTGCACAGAGACCACTGAAATGTAGAGTGTAGGATTCAGATGTTTACATACTCAGGTGGTTCCAGGTACCTGTGTTTGGCAGACCTTACAAGAGGATCATTTTCAGCAAGTGCTGAGTATGTTTCCCTCCGTCCCCAAGGGCTCAAACTAGACACAGAAAAGTCTTAAAAGGGAATAAGCTTTTTAATGCTTTTAGTCAGCCTTGAGTTTTAAGAGCTCCACTAAAATGCTGTAGACTTGTTTGAAAGTACTTGGCCACATTTTCTTGAATACAGAGGCAAAATAAGCATATACTGCACTGATGTCTTGAAAGCTTACTATGTAGATTAGGCACATGAGAAAACAAAATCTTGTAGTTTTTTTTTTTTTTTTAAAAAAAAACTTTTCCTCTAGTGAGCATAAATTCACTTAACTATAGGTTATATTAGTGCACTAAATTCCCCATGGGTTGAAAAAATTAAAAGAAAACATTTACCGTACAGCTTTGGAATGTCCTGTTTTTCTGCACAAAGGTGTGGGTCCTGCATACACAGTGTCCATTATCAGATGGGAGCCTCTCCTGGAAAGATAATTAAAACGCTGCATCACTCACAGTCATGCAGATACTGAACCAGACACAAGGTTTCAAAACAAAACTCGACCCCCAAGCCCCAATCCCAGAATCTGCCCCCATAGGGATCCTGGTTTTGTTGGAAGTGGGTAAAATTGTGGCAATGATCAAGATGGATTTTTATTAATTGAAGAGATGAGAAGTATGTCAGTTCAGCCTTTGTGGGTAAATATATATTTCATTTTTTTCCGCGCAGTTGTAACTCTAAATTCAGACTCATTCCACTTGACAGTTTCTTTGAAGGTGCTCTCAACTGATGTAAATACGAGAGCAAGAGTGGGCTGAAGAAGTATCTTAGTTGATTACCAGAGCCTTTATTTGGAACTAAATATCAAGAGAAAAAAAGGCTTTTTTTCAAAGAGATCAGGAAAAGGAAGACATGTGCTTGGAGATAAGGAAAGATAAAAGCATTCCATTTAAAGATGCCTGTGATAGAAATCAAGATGTTCATCTGCCAAGTCAGTAATTTCATGGCCTTATGACCATGCAGAGCTTCCGTTTCTGTTACCTTTTCCCACAGTAACTGTAAGCACCAAATTATTGGCGTGAAAGCTCCTTTTAGTTTGTCCCATCAGCTCAGCCCTTTAGGGAGGAAATACACAGGTTGAGCCTGAAGATAAAACTCTCTTTGACTTCAGAAGGGAAAAACAGTTCTCCTGTAAGTTTACATTCAGCTTTCTGAGGCACAGCAAGGCCAAGGAATAGGCTGTGAATTCCCTGTTCTTGGAAGGTTTGAAGACAGGTCAGAGAAACACCTCTCAAGAGAGATTTGGGCAGAGCTCATTTTTCCATGAGGAATGAGGACAGCTGAAATGGCCATTTGAGGTGACTTCCAGCCCTGTTTTCTATGATTCATTAGGAGTGAGATCACAGTGACAGTAGATCCTATACAATGCCTAGATTAACAGAGGTGAAGAGCTCAAAATGCATTTGCTGCTTTAAAGCAAGGGGGGTTGGTCTGTTTCTTGTTTAAAGCAATCAGCAGATTTCAGTAAAAAATTATTTGAAAAATCCTAGCTTTGCATGTTTCACAAGCTAGCATACGCAAACAGCCAAGCATTCTAGGCTAAAATTACCCATGCTATCATTAGAAAGCCATAAGAAGGAACATATGGACTGATACTAGTGCTGTGCAGAAGGGCCTTTCAGAGGTGTGCTGCCGTGCAGCAGCTTCACCCCGACGGCAGCGGTTCCGATGCCTACTGCTCATTCCCATCGGGAAGTACAGCCGACACCCTGCGAGAGATCTGACCGGTGCTTTTCTCTTTGAAAGGGACATTTAGTTCCCTGACCTGTCTCCTGAGGTTAGAGAGGGCTCTTCTTGTACACTTCACTTTTGTTTGGTTCCTTTCCTCTCGGGGTTGTGCTTTGCCTTTTCTACAAACACTTGTTAATTGTTCTATGAGTGTTTGTCACTGTAGTCATCGCTCCTTCCTCACTCAGGCAGCAGACAGGCTCCCTCGTGCTGGGCAGTGTGGAAGCACACACCACTTCCGTGTTTGGGGTTTGTTTGGTTTTTGTTTGTTTGTTTTTTTTTTTTTTCCCTTCCTGCTTGGAACAATTAAACTTTTGCCCAAAGATTTTGCGTGCTTCCTCGCTTAGGCTTTGCATCCAGCAAAACACGTTTAGCTGTGCCACCAACGGATCAAAGCGTTTGTTTAAAATGAAGCAGGTGGGTAAGAGCGCGGCCACCTCAGCCCCGCAGCCCCAGACTGCCGCCCCTCCGTTTGTGCCGGTTTGGAATTGGCAGAGCGGGGCGCCTGTCATCACACTCCCAGAGCTCTCCTCCGCAGGGCAGGAGCACAGCCAAGAGGCACTTCCACTATCACTGGGTTTTGGTTGGGTTTGGTTGGTCTCAACCCCGCGCTGGGGACTCCTGCTGCCAGATGATGAGGATGGGGATACGGGAGAGGGAAGGCAGCTGCCCCCACCCACAGCCAGCTGGGCTCCCTCGGATGGGTCCTGCTGGCAGTGGGGGGGGTTTGGGTTAGGGTAGGCGGCCTCGGGGAGCCACAGGTGACCCCATCCTGATGCCAGGCAGGAGAGGGACAGGGTAAGGACCTTGCACTGCAGTTTCCACATCCCCACCTCACATCACAGACACTGGCCAAGCCCTGCAGCAGCCGCCACGCTTCACCTGGCCCGTGGGGCTGGCGGCCGGCCCTGCGCAGCCCGGCCAGCCACCCTCACCCAGCCTTCCTCCAGGCAGGGCTCCTCAGCCTCACCCGGCCCGTGGAGGTCAGGCACTAAAGGCACCGGGTGTAGCCTCTGCCTCGGATGCTGGTGCACGGCGGCAGTTTCAGGCCTGCACACTGACAGGCTTTGCCTCAGTTTAACTAGCATACTTATGAAATAAATCCCTTTACACACACCGCATTCCTGGATTACAGAGCAGCCCTGCATCTGTCAGCAGGGAGGGCCTTCTCCCATCTTCTGCAGCCTGCTGGGAGAATAGGAGCGTGCGGAGCAGGAGATCTGGTGAGGATGGGTGCTCGCACGGGGCTGGGCTGCCCGCACATGCATGTTCACCTCCAGAGCCAGCAAGGGCCTGCGCTCACGGGGAAGCTGCATCACTTTTAGGCCAGAGCTGCTCAAAGAACCAGTTTAGACAAGATTCCTGTGTCCAGTGTTTTCAGCCTGGCATCTTTTACCACCACTACATGCAAAGCTTTTAATTAATAATAGACTAAGATGCCTGGAGCAAAGACTGCCATTATGAACTGTGAATGCATGCGGTATCAGTCACATAGCAACGTAAGGCTTCTTGGCTCTCTTGCAATATGTATGTTGATGGTAAGTTATGTGACCGATTGTTCTCTAAACAATTACACAGAAATGATGATGACTTTCTAGACTACTGCATAGAAATTTTCAAGACAGATAGGAGAATTCCAGATTTACTCTCTAGTAAATATGAATTACATATGCAAATAATTCTTTAGTTGGGAAACTTCTTTTTACTATTCAAAGTCAGATAATGTCAGATTCTGAACTAAGTTCACGACTTCTGGTACTTCTGTTTCTGCAGTTCACTCTGGAACAGCAAAGATTGTTAACCACAGCTTGTGTTCAGAGTGCCAGTGCTGAAAGGCACATCTCAGAGTCTGGTTTTTAAAATTCTATCTTCAGTATTTATATTTTGTTTCAACTTTGATCGGTACGCTGTAGAGGCTAATCCTGCAAATATTTACCCAAGTCAAGCTTTCTATGTATAGTTAATTCTAGCTCAATGGGAGCTCACCTTAATGAGGGCACATGTTCTGCAGTAGCATTTATTTTAGACTGAGCATTGAAAAATTTAGTTGCATTTGCTAGTCAGGTTTGTTTTGTTTTTTTTTTTTTTTTAGATATATATATACACATACATACAGACACACACATATGTATGGTGATTATTTTAGGTTCTGAGAGAGAAAGAAAGAATATTCAAACAATTACTTACTGATTTCCACCTGAGAGAAGGCTCAGTGAGACAGAAAACAGCAGCATGGTAAGTATTCTTTCATAGCATAAATGATACTATAGACAAATGTTTCCAACAGAATCAATTATAGCATTAAAAATTGTAGATTTTTTTAAAAACAAGTTTTAGATATGTGGATGCAAGGTCTGCTTTTTCGTTTCTAAAAAGCATCCCACAAACAACTTCATATATACAACTTCCCTTTGAGGCAGGTAGTGCTGCCATTTTGACAGATGAGAGAAACATGAGCCCTGTGGGCCATGGGGAGATGGGGGACCAAGAAGCTGATTCCTGACACTTTCCCTTGTTATTTTCCATAAGCGAGTACAGAATTGTCCATGAGGCTTGCTCAGATCACAGGACTCAGATTTGCAAACAGCACGACACTTCAGCAAGTTACCCTTCAGTTAGCTGAGCTGTGGCTGCTGCTTGGGGGGTCAGTGAGTGTTAATCTCAGTTACACTGTGGATTTAGAACACGCACGTGAACAGCTGCTGTGGCTCAGCTGAGGTATGATAAATTCTTAAGCTGAGCTACTTGATCAGGACTCAGAGCCTGTAGGTATGCATAATTTGTATCTATAATAAATTCATCATTCCAGGACCATGCCCACAAACTACCCTCCAGATCTTCAAAGAGGACAAATTTATTTATTTGTTTTAAAGAATGAACAAATTGTAGATGAGTGATTCCTCTAATAATTCTTTATGAAAAGCAATTATTGCTCTGTTGAGATGGGGCTAGAAACAGTCCCCAGGACTGCTATTTTATGCACATCCTCTTTCACTTAAGTTATCTCCCACATGTTTTTACAGAATCAGAGTGTCAGTGACAGAAGGTGCAGTGATGCCAGTTCACTTTATATGGATCTCTCCAGACTTGTGACCTGGGCACACAGTCATGGGACCATATGTAATCAAATCCCAGCCTTGGAAATTGTGGAGAACATAGGTCATCCTAGCAGGGACAATTCTGTTCTGTGGATGTGTGCAGCTGGACATGCGTATCGCTGGCAGTGTGAAAGAGTACACATCAGAAGCAGAGAAGAGAATGAGGCTGTAGAAACGAGAAAGAGGAGAGTATCTTCTGAGGCTTCATCAAGGGAAGCTAATTTAGCTGAAAAGAGGTTCAGGATGACCCCATCTTTTGAGAGGGCTAAATCAGACACTGTTAGCACAGGGTCACATAGCAGATCTCCGTGGGTCACTCAGCAGAAAGATGACACAGCCTGCATAATACATAATGAACCACCACCCAGACAAAATCGAAAAAGTAGCAAATCCATGAAATCACACTTCGCAGCAGAGCAGCATTTGTCATTATCTGGTGGTGAAGTCAGAACTGACAGACATAAGGTGAAGCTAGACAGCATCGAAGATCTACAAATCATCTCTGATGAAGAACATTGTGTATCAGATGAAGACAACCAAGGAAACAGAATCAACCAGAATATTCTGTCAGAATCACAAAATAAAGGTGTAACTGCTGAGGTAGACTTGCAAATGCATCGCAGTCAGAACACAGCATTTAATAAGCCGACAGCTACCCAAACATCTGGCTTTGACCCCCCAGGAAAGCCACCCCTGACTCTTGCCTGCATTCTAAAATCCCCCGTCAGCCATCAGGAGAGCCTGGACAGAAGCTTCTTGAGGTTAGGTCCTCTTAATCCTGCAGGGTTCATGACTGAAACCTCTAGAGCAAGAAATTCCTCTGGGTCAGCAACACCAAAAGAACATTTAAAATCTGTTCCTGTCTCCAACATTGAAGCAAAGGCCCAACTTGTGTCACCTGCCTCCGTGACATTATTTGAGTTTGAAGCCACTTTAGATGTCCAGCAGCAACTCCAGCTGAGCCCTCCCGAGTGTGGCACACCAGGAATAGACTTAAGTGGGAGCTTTACTGAAAACCCTGTTGAGGAGAGTGAACCGTCAGGATCTGGGCATGCACCTCATCTTTCAGCCTCATTGAGTCCAGAGGGCAACAACGCAGACCATCCAGCTGCATCTCCAAACAAAAGTAAGAGCCTAGAGTTTTATTCCTGGAGGGGTTTGTGGGTGTGTGGGTGCATTCTATTAATCACTTTCCCAAAATATTAAAGGAGAGTGAGTTCATATAGCTGCCAAAATCTGTATTATTGTAGTATCCAAGTAAATGCCTCTGATTTGGGGCACTCCTTTTTCTGCTAAAAGAGACTAAAAAGGTTCCTGCCTTAAGCAATCAGCACTTCAGCAGGTCATGCCGTTCACTGAGGTACCCAAACATGTCCTTGGCTGTGGCCCAACCTTAACTACCCAGTTTGAATACTTTGGTCTTTCATTTTACTTACTATGTTGGCTGTACTTAAGAGAGTCCCTATGAGAAACTGGAGCCAGGGAAGGGAACTCAGGTCTCAAGAAAACAAGGGAAAATAACTTTTAAAGCAGTGAAACAGAGGAATTGTGGCTGAAACTCTGGCTGCACTGAAGTCCCAGAGATTGCAATGGGAGCAAAGTTTCAATCCTGCGTATTAAATTACATGAGCTAAACGAATTGCTTTAGTACTTTTAAGAGTTTTAAGATTTTCATACACACCATCCTTGGAATCCACTGGAGTGGGGAGAGTTGTGATTGCTCAAGCATTAACTTGCAAGATACACTGCTTACTAGGGAACTTTCAATACCAAGGTCAAGCCACGCACAGAGAGTATTTTAAATGATTCTGTATGATAAGAACATGCTGTTTGACAAACGTTTTAGAAGCCTAGCTTGCAGCTGTTTTAATCCTGCTGCAAAACAGTCACTGTACAAGATCGGTTAATGGTTGGACTTGATCTTAAAGGTCTTTTCCAACGTAAACAATGCTACGATTCTAAGAAGGAACAGCTGACATATAGTGAGTGGACATTATCAAAATTATGCTAGTCTTTTGCAAGCAGTGGGGAAGCCATCAATGAAATAGATGTAATTAATTTAATATATGATCAGATTTTAGGATAGATGTGTAGAATACACTGTAGCCTTAATGCCAGGTACATACATATTTAATCTAATGATTAAACACCTCAAATAAAATGCAAATGTCCAGGGTTTTAAAGATGTTATAGTAAAGCCACAAAATTTGCATCTATAATGATTCGGGTGCCTGCAGGTGCTATTTCACATTAATTCCAAGTAAACTACTGTCTAGTCTAGTTTATGTTTTTGTCTGCTAGTACCTAGGTGTAAACATTGAGGCAGATTTTTAAAATTTAATTCAAAGAGTAGGAGTATCTCTTTTCCATCCAGCGGCTCTACCAACTGAGAAGCATCCCCAACAGCGTGTATCTCACTTCCCCGCGCTCCGTTTGGGAATCCCACCTCACACTCCCCAAAACCCGTCCTCTTCCCAGCCGCACAGTGCGGCCCCACGGCCCTGTCCATGGCACGCCGGGCCTGGCAGAGCTGCCGCGGCTCTGCCCCGTGCCCACGCAGGATGCTCCCGGCCGAGCACAGCTCCCACGCCGCTCCCCAGCTGCAGGGCCCCGTCCCACCCCCCCAGACACCGATACCTATTTCTCTGCTGAAATAATGACCCATCTCAACCAGCCGCAGCCAAAAGAGCAACGGCCTACTGCAGGTTTCTGCTGTGCAGGGGCCTGGACAGTGTCCTTCTAAAGAAAAGTGATTACTGACATAGTGTTTGGGGTTTGTCTGTAACACAGTGGGTGTGCACTTGAAGCACCGTTAGTATTCCTGAATAGACTCAGGGTTGCAGACGTTTGTATTCCTCATGTAGCCACAACTGGACAAACTGGCACAGCTGATTTTTGTGAACACTATTTGACTGGTTTTGTAATTGACAACATATATCATCAGAAGGGACTGGGAATTCATCTGGGAATATCTGTGTAGGAGCAGTTTCCACCAGGATAAATGGCTTATGGTTCAAGCAAGGCCTCTGCATGTATTGACTTACAAGCCATCCATCCCTTCACATAGAGCAGTCAGGAACAAAACAAGCAAAAAAACCAAGACATAGGCACAGGGATCAGTAGAATCCACCTCAGTCCAGCCACAGCATTTTAAGATAACAACTAATCATGTACAAAATAACTTGGTGCAAGCAGGGGAATCTCTAGATGTTGGCTCTAAAGCCGTTTTCAATCTACTCCTCTTCAGCCCTGGAAAAGTCACAGGCGAGCAGATGGAGCTTTTCAGCAATCCAAAGAATTAATTTCTCATGCTACATCAAACTAGGTAGATGTGGTATTGCCATAGCAACTTGAGAGATAACCCAACTGGAATCCTGGCAATCCTTTTTTTTTTTTTTTTTAAAAAAATACACTTTTACTCATCTTTTTGTTCTTCCTTACTATCCAGCCCTAACCTTTGGTTAATGTTTTTATTTCACAGCAAGAGCTCTCTTGCTCTGAAGAGATTTTTGTAAAGACGAACGCTTTGAAATACATTTTGCATAATGCCTCATACAAGACTTTGAACATATGAAATGGATGCCACTTAGTCCTGAGGCAGATCACAAGATCCATATACAGGCCAACTCCCTTCTATTTTAACAAGGCGGTTTGGCCCCTGCAGTCACCATAAAGTACACGCCAGGGTAGTTGCAAACTGGCGAGAGGAGGTCACGTCCATTTGGGGTTGCTTGGGCTTCACGGCTAGCACTGCCAGCTCAGGCCTGCAGCCACTGGTTACACGGCCAGTCCCACCAGTGTGGTCCTACGAGCACACTCTGAGAGTCAACTCCAAAACAGCCACGGGAAAGTTCGATGTCAAGCCAAGCCACCAATGACAGTTCCACTCTCCTGTCCTGTATTGCTGTCTTGGAAGGCCCATAGAACTTGCACCAATGCTTTCTGCACGTGCACCCACAATGACATTCGGTGAATAAATCTCATTAGGAACTCATTCTCTCCCATTTAAACATAATTCAAAAAGAAAGAATACCTTAAATTTACCTCCATGGTAGTATGCAGATCCACCTGCCAAGTGAGAGAGAGCAAAAATGGAGAGAGCCCTTTCCCTGTCTAGGCTGGCTTGCTGAGGACACAGAGCTAAACCAAAGCTTTCAAGGAAGGGGTTTGTGAAAGTCCCATAATCTCTGAATTACTTTTAAAAGTAAGGTGAAGGTTATTCTGCGTCTCCTTGTGTTTCACTGATCTCCTTGTAAGTTCTTGCTGTCCACAAAGCTGTGTCTTATCTTTTAGATGCGTTGAAGAAGTGGGAGAAAAAGAGGAACCGTAACACTAGCGATATTAAAGTTTTCAAAGACTGGCTGATTTTACACTGCCCTTCTGAAATACGTGAGATCTATATGCTACCACCCGAAGACCTCGATAATTACCTGGCCTCGTTCTACAGTTCCGCAAAGAGACAGAACGGCATGGATTTTTCCTCCAGATCTTTGCACATCTTTCAGAGCAACATAGAGAGATACCTCAAGGATCACAACTATGAGTACAGCGTGGTTAAAGGGCTGGAATTCAGAGCAGCTCAGGACGCCTTTAAACTAAAGTATCAGCACCTATCGCATCAAAAGAGCGAGGGAGAGTGGAGTATTTTGGAGAACCTGACAGATGAAGATGTGGCAAATCTTCGTAAGAAGGGACTTTTAAGTAAGATGCACCCTCATGGCTTTTTGCACCTCATGTTCACAAATATCATTAGGGGGTTTGGGGCACGTACACACAGGCAGAGCAATAATCTGTACTGGGGACAGCTTGTGCTAAAAAAGCATGAGGGAGAGCTGGAGTACTTGGTGTGGAAGGATGATCTGAGAGCAGAGGTAGACGTGGGGGAATTGGGTCCACGTCGTCTCTGTGCCAAGCCAGACAATCCAGATAGCTGTCCGGTCGCAGACTACAAGGAGTACGCCAAGAGGCGGCCCCTGGACATGCTTCACGACTACGACCCGCTGTATCTGGCTCCCAAGCCTCTGTGCTCCATATGGGACCAGGTATGGTACTGTAGAAAGCCAGTGGCAAAAGCCAGACTGGAAAAGATCTTGAAAGCTATTATCCAGCAGGTCAAACAACCTGTGAAGAAGTCCAAAAAAATAAAGGTAACCACTTAGTTTCTGCTGTGCCACTATTTGGTAGGAGTATGTTTCAAAGCAGTCTGCATAAGGTTCAAGTGGCAATAGTTAGTATAGGCTGAGGAGAGCATCCTTCTCTTTGGTTTCACCTTAGAACATAAGTCATCTACAAATTTGTATCACCTTAGCGTTCAGGTTAAGTGAAAAATTTCTATTGTTCTTTATATTAATGGAATTGATAGTTCAGTAAGTTAGATAAAAATGAGAATTTTAGGTTTCACATTTGTAAAACCAGTTAATATTCTACAGTATTAATAATTACATGATAAACCACCTAATGTTAACATGGAGAGGGCTTGGTAGCTGAATAGCCTGGCTGCACTTATATTTGGGGGAGCTGACACCTGTACCCAGCATTTAGTCTGTAGTATAAGCCTACGGTAAAAAGAGAAATAACAGGAATTAGTTCTGGAGTGGAAGAACGATGAAATGCCACAGTTGCCAACTGCTAATCCCTATCTCATGGGAATGCTTTCAACAAGGTTTATGTAATTTTTCTTAGTGAAAGATTTGTAGATTTAAGAAGTTGTGTGTTTTAAAAAGTTATTTTAAATGGCTCATAGTGTTGAAAGGTTTTATGGGGAGCGCTTTCCCCGGAGTGCTAAATATAGCTACATAAATACACTTTGGTAGATGTAGTCAACTTCTTTCAGCTGTTCAAGTCTTGTGCAGTCAATATGCTCTCTTGCAGTCCAGTCAAGTTGTCAGGTTGCATTGTTGGCACAACCCAATAAAAGAACATTTTACTCAGTCCTGTCTGTCCGGTCTGTTTGTCTGTTGTACAGAGATGAAGCCAGTAAGCCCAAGCTGGCAGGTAACAGCTTCCCAAAACACCAGCGTGTTTGCTTCTGGTGCTTGGGTTTCTCCTGCTCGGCCCATCGTTATTCAGTGCTGCAGAGCTGACCCCGAGGGGGATTCGGGCTCGCTGAAATCCCACGGAGCCCATGCTCGTGGTTTCTTAACGAGGTCTTTGTGGCTAAACCCTTTGCCAGAATTAGCCCCATCCAAGCAACATTTAATATCAGCAAATAACTCATAGATGTTTAAAGAGCAATAAAAAAAGCCAAACTCACTTGATCAAATGCTCGGTGGGAGCCTTGCAGCTTTCCTGGTGCTGGCGAGCCCCCGCAGCATTACGGCTGCTGTGGCCAGCGCTGTGGGACCCGCCGGTGCTCAGCTCTGTGCCCACGATTGAGCCACAGCAAACCCTCCCTGCGGGGCCGGGCTTTGCCCACCCCAGCTGAAGACAGCGACCCGACCAGGCTTTCCTTCCCCCCCTGCTCAGCTGTTTAATCCGTGCCCTGGAGCTCGTTAACGAAGGGCTGCTGCCTTCAAAACCAGGTGGCACAAATGTTGGCTTAATCCTGCCAGGAGCCCCGGGGGCAGCTCTGGGGTCTGTGTGCGGCTACGCCAGGGAGCAAACTGCCAGCAGGAAGAGCTAAGGGGTGACAGCAGGGTCCCCACCCGCACCCCCAAACCTGGGGCTGCGCCACGAGTGGGGCTGCGGCGGCCGGGCCGGGCACGGCAAGAAGGGACAGAATTTAGTAGCCCCAGGTGGGCCGAGGGTCCCGTGCAGCCGCCCTGCCCCGAGGAGGGACAGCAGCCCCCCTGCACACCCCGGGCCGGGGAGGGCACCCACCTCTTCATGCACCCACGACCCCGCTAGCCTGGGCCTTCCTGAATTTCTAGTTACCTGCACTTCATACAAATGAGTAGCGTCCCGGGTAAAACGCTCAATCAGACCTCACCAAGGGTTTAACAGAAGAGATCAGCCAGAAAACTGCTTCGTTTCGTAGAAGCAAGGACATAGTAGTACCAGAAATTCTGAGTAAGGGTCCCAGGGCATGTCTCAGCAGCTCGAACTGCAAACCTTTTCCCAATAATTAGGAATTTACCCATAGTAGTCTGTTGCTGGGGGCAGCGTCTGCAGCCGAGGGACTCTGAGTACACTTTTACTTTGAAAAAAGGACAAAGAGGAAAACAGTCTCCCAGTCCCCATTTCTATTGCGTGTTAATGATGTTCAGTTAAAACTGACTGGGTTTGTCAGCCAGAAGGTGCCTTGTTAACCTCCTGCAGAAACCATCCCAGCAGCCAGCTGAGGGAATCTGATGACTGAAGTCAGGATGAAAATGCTTGTAAAAGCGTATTTTTTGATTAAATGCATTTGTGTTTACATTTGATGGAAATGGGTTTCTAGGATCACCTCCTGGGAGGATCGAGCCGGAGCGCCGGTGGTTGCCAGTGGGGAGGGCTCCAGTCCTCGGGGCCAGCCCCGAGCCCCCGCCCGCGTGTGTCCCTCTGACCCCCCGTGTCCCCCCCCGCTCCGGCCTCGCGTGACCCCCCGACCCCCCCCCCCCCGGTTCCAGCGCGGCTCGGGGGGGCAGCCGCGACCCCCGGCGTCCTGCACCCGCTGCCCGCCTCTGCACCACCAGAAAAAAAATGATGGACGAGGGCGGAGAGCAAGAGACGGCGCCGGGCGACTTGGTGACACCGGCGGCCGAGCTGCGGGCGGCGGCCCCACGCGGGACGGGCTGTGCCCGCCGCCCTGCCCACGGGGGACCCGCCCGGCCGTGGAGCGGGGCCGCTGCAGAACCCGAGTCTTCCTCTTTTTGCACGGAGGGCTCTGACATCCCCCCCGCCCCCGGTATGGCCGAGGGGAGGCAGCGCCGCGGGCGGCCCACGGAGCCCGGCCTCGCCCTTCCCGGCACGGCCGATGCGCTCACGCGTGGGTGCCCGCGGCCCGCGCGCTCGCCGAGAGCCACCTAGCGACGGCGGGGGGGGGGGCAGGGGGGGGCGGCCCGGCCCGGCCCCCCCCGCTGCCGGGATCCCGCCGTTCCACACCCCCCAGCCCCCCACCCCCCCCCCCTCAACTCCGGTCCCGGCGCCGGCGGCTCCGCGGAGGCTCCTGCTGCAAAAAGCGGGGCAGAGAAACACCACGGGCCGGGCAGAATGACGGAGAGAAGCGACTACCCTTTAATAAATTAGCAAAATAAACAGCATTTCTCTACATCTGTATATTGTATTACTGCATCTCAGCAGATCACGAGTGGAGCAGAAACGCTGATTTCCGTTTGGTGCCGGTACTGATCCAGACCTACGTGTCAGCCGAGGTACCCTCCTAGGTGATGCCTGATGGTGTGGTACCTAAAAACCTAAAACCACTTAGAAATAAAATAGCTTTATTGTGAGACAGGGACACAGTTTCCGATGAGAAAGAAGTTAAATTACCGTATGATTTCATCTGGCTGTCTCCTTGCAGAAGTGATTAAAAGAAAGTGATCCAATTTTTCCCCTCATAAGAAAAAAAAACTATTACCTCACCTCAAAGGGAAGGGGGAACGAATGAGTAGACCTAATGCATTGGAAGGATCATCTGTTATATTAAAAACGGATGTGATTTGCAGTGTACAAGTCTCTGATTCCTGTGATAACCAGGAGCTGAACTGATCAGGTATTTCAATCGTGTGTCAGCTGATCCCAAACAGGGCAAGTAAACGGCGAAGTCCGGTGGCCTCAAGGGCTCCCTCAGTCGTTGTCCTGGACGTACTGCCCGGCCTCCCAGCGCTGGGCCATGGCACTCTTGTGACGGATCACTCTGGTGCTTTCCACAACCTGAAGAAACCAGAAGGCTCGGTATCTTTTTCTAAAGAAGATATTGTTTATAAACGGTCTTTTTTGCACGACTTGCCCTCCCAGCCAGAAGCCCCCCCACCCCCCCTTCGGGTTAAACACGGCTGACAGTGGCCCCAACACGTTCTGCCCCAGGCGATGCCCACCCAAGCAGTGCCGTGGCCCTGCGGGAGCTGAGACCCCCGTCCCCCCGAACCCGGGAGCGAGGGGACCCCAGTGGGGAGCGGGGAGTCGGGGCAGCCCTCAAGCACGTAAAGGACTTTACCTCTGTGTTGATCTTGTCAATGGGTTCAATGCCTGCGTACTGTGAAAAGGCGGAAAAAAGGGTTCAGGTAACAGTGACGTGGCAGGGAACTATCCAGAGGCAGCTGGATACAGCCGGGGGGGGGGTTCAGGCTGCCAGGCAAGGCGGAGGCGGAGGGGAGCGGGGGCACAGTGCAGGGCAGGACCCGCCCGGGAAGGAAGCTGCTGCTCCGCTCCAGTCCCACCCAGCGCTGGCACCCCTGCGCAGCGGGTGCTGCCCTGGGGGCTCCGCACCGCCCCACGCCGGTGCCACTGCCACCGGGTCCCCCACCGAGCTGAGCAGCCGGACCTCCAGCTCCGGGTGGGAGCCGGGCACGGCCGCCTCCAGCCCCGGAGCCACCAGCCTTCTCCCCAGCTCCAGCCCCCCCGAGCGCAGGGCAGGTGCGGTCACCTTTCCATCCTCCTTCACCCTCCTCCTCCGCTCTTCGAAGGGGCTGGAACGCGCCGAGTCGGGGGTGAGGGTCTCCGTGCTGCCCTGGGAGGAGCCAGCCACTCTCAGCGGGGTGAAGGACGACACCAGCCCCAGGACCCCTGCCTGCTGCGAGGCAGGAGCAGAGACGGGAGACCCGGACACCGAGTAGCTGCCGCTGACACCTGAAGCAGCTTCAAGAGAAAGAGCTGTCGGGGGGGTGAGGGGACACCAGGGCCCCCTGGGGTTGGGGTACCTGCAGGAGGGCAAAGCTCCCGCCCCAGACCGGGCTTCTTGACAGGCCCTGCAGGTTTGGTCCTGGCCAGGACCCCGTGTCTGGGTGCCAGCCAGGGATTGTCAGGAGCAAGGGAGAGGAAATGCCTGAGTTGGGCACTTCTGAGCCCTTCCAGCAGTTTTCTGCGGTAACGTGACACAAAGTCATAAAAACCTGAGCAGCTCTGGAATCACAAGCCATGCTGCTCTTGAAGACCCCATCCCTCAGCAGCAGCAGCAGCCCCTCCACATCCCCTCCCCCCGGCAGACTGGTCCAGCTGGCTCCAGGGACTCCACATCAAGTACTTCTGCTTGCTGGCCACAGAATCCATGTCCAAGGAGAATTATGTCTCGGGGGACAACTTGATACCAACACCCAGGTATCAACGAGCATCTCAGCAAATCATTGCAGGGAGGAACTTGGACCCCTCACCCGCAGACAGACTCCCCCCGGCTAGGACTTGATGCTTCCCACCCGTAACTCTGTCCCCCTCGGTCCCTGCCATGGCCACTCTTGCTCTTACAGAGAGCCCAGGTTGCCTGTGGCTCACAAAGGGCACGGACACCGGCTGTACGGGCTTCCCGTGCTGGGAGAGGCTCCCGCCCGCCGGCACGGGAACGTCCCTTGGGACGGGCGCTCCACGGTGCCACTCCTGTCCCCTCCGACAGCTCCTGCCGAGGCTCAGAGCCACAAGGCACAGGAGGGCGGGAGCGATGCCCGCGGGAGCTCTGCCCCATCCCAGCCCACCGTGCCTCTCCCCTTACCGGAGCTGTGCCGTGAGCGGGTGCCCTCCTGGGGAACGCCGTCACTGCTGACCAGGGAGCAGCCGTCCACCAGCCGCCGCCGCCGCCGCTGCTCCTGCAGCTCCTCTTCCCTCTTCAAGTCGCTCTGGATCTCCTCCTCGATCAGCGCTGACGTCTGGGGCTTCCAGGTCCTCAGCTTGTACTGCTCCTCCCGGCCATCCTCCCTCCTCAGCGGGTTCTGCGTCCCCATGTTGTCCACAAAGGAGACCTTGGGCTTCCAGAAGGAGAAGGAGAAGTACTCCCTGGGCAGGACAGCTGTGCCGGCGGGGCTTGGGGTGGAGCTGGGAAGCCTTCCTCCCCAGGAATCCTCACTCCCCCATTTGCTGGCGCTGGCGGAAACGCGCGGGGACCCCAGGGGCTGGTCCTGGCTCCTCTCGCTGGCAGCAAAGCGTGGCTGGGACGCCTGGGAGTGTGTGATGCTCGCTGTGTAGCTGGGAAGGCTTCTCCCACCCCTGGTGTCTCCTGCGGGGCAGGGTCCGTGGCTCGTGAGCTGCTCTGCCACAAACTCATTAACCCAGCTCCGCTGCTCGTCTGCCTTCCTCGTGGGGGTGGGCTTCTGTGGGGGGGCTTCCTCCTGCTCGAACACCCTCCTGCACTCCTCCAGCTCCTGCTGTGTCCCCCTGTCATACATCCCCAGCAGCCTCCTTTGCTTTTTCAGATCTTCCTCACGCTTGGTTTCCTGCTCGATTTCCCTCTGGACGTAAAGGGAAGCTCGGCCTTTGTCCTTCGCTTTCCTGCCTGGGCCGGGAGAGGCGTCCATGGAGAGGAGAGGCTTGGTCCTGATCTCCACCAGCTCGCTGCTGGAGATCAGCCGCTGGATCCCCCTCTCCTTCCAGAGGTTCTCCTCCCTCTCCATCGCCATGCGGATCTCCCGCTCGATGGGCGTCTCGTTGCTGATCTTTTTCTCCTTGTCCAGGCCGTTGCTGACAGCCTTCAGATCCACGAGGCCATTGAAGATCTCATTGGATGCACTTCCATCACTCGTGTAGCCTGCATTGGCTTCATTATACATCTCACCCAAGCCGGAGTCCAGGTCCTCTCTGGAAGATGCTTTAGTCAAGCTGGACATCTTCCTGCTGGGGTACGACCTTTCAGTGTCAGCCCTCCTGGGAGCATAAGCCTCCTCCTTCACAGGTGTCTTGTAGGATACACTATAAACCTGATAAATGGTCTTGTCCGTCCTACTCTGTCTGGGTGCACTGGAGTTACCGTAACCTCTTGCAGACTTCGTGGGCAGCTCAGGACTATGCCACTCTTGCCTAGAGGCTTTTGTCATCAACTCTGGCTTTGGAGACACAGCCTGTTGCCCTGGGCTGAAAAAAGAGCCCGGGTTGGTCTTCTCTAGCATCAGGAACTGCTGCCGAGCAGCGGAGAAGTTGATCTGCTCCGTGTTGATGTTTTCAGGGTCAACAGGCGTCTCTGCCCTCCCCGAGGAAGACTTGTCAAAGCAAATGGGGAAGCTGCCTGTGTGCCGGCCTTCACCCAGGCTGCCCGTGCTGGTGTTTATGGAGCTCAGCTCATCCATGGAGCTCCATTTCTCAGCCATGGTGGAGCTCTTCCTCACCACCTGGTCCCGGATGATCTCTCTCCTCTCATCCTCGAGCTCCCTGGCTTTCTCAGGGGAGATGTTCGGTGGAGGGACCCTGTACTGTTCCGACTCATCCTCATCATAAAGCTTCGAGGGTTTCCTCTCACCTCGGTAAGCCCTGAGGTCGTACAGGCTTCCCGACCTCACCACCTCCAGCTTGGACTCCCTGTCCGGGGACGGGGTCCAGACATCTCTTCCACCATCTGGGAAACACGTGGGTGTCTTCGACCTCGTTTTCCAGCCATAGTCATTTTCTACCCTCTGGCTGCCGTGTTGAGCGGGGCCAAACACATCGTCGTCGCTGTCGGCCCTCTGCTCTGCGAACGAGCTGGCGCGGTGAGCATCGCTGTAGTCGTGCTTGTGCGAGGTCTGCGGGAGCTGGAAGACCAGGTGCCTGGTGACTCTGTCCATCTCCCGGGAAGAGTCAGCGTCTACCCCTCTGCCAACCTGGACTGGGGATGCTGCTCAGCTTCGAGATCGCCCTCGGGCTCCTGGCTCACCTGAGGACACGGGGCAGGACCCGGCCGGCCCTGTGAGCGGGAAGGAGGGCGGCTGTTAAGAGCAGCAGGAGCAGAGCCTGGGGGTGTGCAGCCCCCCCCCCCAGCCCGGCACTGCTGTCCTCACCCGGGCAGTGACTGAGAGATGCCTCTACCCAGGGGACAGACACAGCCCCGTGTCCCGCCAGTCGTTCGCTCCGTTTACTCAGAAACACCAGGTCTGGGACAGAAGCATCCGGAGCACAAAGCACCCCTCCCAAGGGGAACGGCCCCAAAGCCAACGTCCCTCCCTGCCCCTGTCCCCCAGCCTGGCCACGTCCTGAGCCGAGCCGTGAGTGAGCAAAGCCAAACCCGCCACGGGCAGCCCCTGCCCACTCCAGCACAGCCACCCTCACGCCTTTCCACACACCGGGCAAGGAAGGACCCCCGGGAGCACCAGGCAGGGAGGGACCCCCGGGAGCACCGGGCAGGGAGAGGCAGCGGCGGCAGCAGGTCCAGCTCTGCCTGGAAGTTCTCCTTGCGGGAATGAGGCTCCAAACAGCTGAGCTATTGAAACAGCAGGGATCATAAAAGTGGTTTCATGGCTCATAAAAAGGAGGGGACTTTAACCCCCGTATCACGCAAAGCGGGAGTAAACTGCCTTGACCTTGGTGCCGATCCTCCCGCACTGGCTGGGCCGGGGCAGGGTGGCACAGCGGGTGCCGGGGGCGGGAGGGAGGGTCCCTGCGGGACAGCAGCTCTCACCGTGTTGCAATTGTCATCCCCGGTCCCCGTGCCAGCGGGACACATGTTCCCCCCGTGCACGCCCAGGGCCGAGCAGCACATCCTCTCCCTCGGTTTGCCAGGGTGTAACCACCACCCACCCCGCCATCACCGCTCCCGGCGGGGCCTGGGTGATGCAAGGCCACGGTGATGATGAGGCAGCCCAGAGCTGGGGTGCTGTGCAACTGGGGAGCCCAGCTTGGGGTGAAGCTCGCGGGTCCCTGCACCCAGAGCAGCCCAGCTTGTCCCCAGGGCAGACACGCTGTGCCCCGGCTCCTTCCCTGCAGTGACACTGGTGACAGAGCTCCCCCCGCTCACCTCCCAGCCTGGCCAGGCTCTGCCCTTCCTCCCAGGGGGCAAACAGGGCTGGACCAGCAGTTGAGGGGCCATTTAAGCCTTTCCTGGGGTGGGAGCACCTGGGGCTCATCAGGGACCACTCTGTGCTGCTGCCTGGCCCTGTGCCCAGCCCGGGCACTTCAACCTCACAGCAGCAGCAGGGACCGGGCTGGGCCGGGGCTTCTGCTGCCCCCGTTCCCGATGTGCTGCGCCCGGCTGAGTTCCCGTAACCGCATCGTGTTCCCACCAGTAATTCTCTATTGCTCTTTTATAGCCCCTGATGACCCAGACAGTGAAAACTATCTATCTGCCCATGCCTCTTATCATGTTTGGAGAGCTCAGAGGTCCCTGCTGGGAGGGGGCTCCTCACTGGGAGCGCAGGAGGGGGGTAGGGAGGGGGAAACCAGCAGCGCTGTTATCGGGGTTCCCGGCCGGCACCACGCCGAGCAGCACAGCCCCTCCCAAAGCAGCACCCAAAACCACCTGACTGTCTCGGCTTGGCCCCGGCTGCCTGGCACTGCAGGAACATGATGGTGGGGGGTCCTGGGCTCGTCCCCCCTGTGCCCAGCCAAGTGCCACGGGGAGATGCTGGGCAGAGCAGGCAGCACTGCAGCACCCGCCAGACTGGCCTGGGCCCCCCCACCATAAACAGACAGCTAGGGAGTTTTCCAGGGTCCCCCCCCCCACTCCAGGGGTCCCTCAATGGGCTGCAGACATGCAGCAGTGTGCCCACCCCCCCCGTGCAAACAGCCGCGTGCGCTCCCAGACCCGCCAGCATGCGAGACGTGCCAGATCGTGCCGGTGTGCCCCCCGCCGCCCCTCCGCCTGTCCCCCCCGATAGAGCTGGTGTCTGCACCCTCGCCCACGCTGTGGCCAGACCCTGTGTGGGGACCAGTCCCACTGAAGTCGGGGGGGCACGGCCACCCCGGGTGCCCTGGCACTGCCCTCGCCCCCACCCCGACTGCCCTGTACTTACTTTCCCGGGGAGCCGTTGGGGTGGGGGTCCCCACCCCGGGCACCCAGCTGAGCCGTGTCTGTCAGGGAGAGCTGGGGCAGCGGCGGTGGGGCGTGGGGGCCATGGGGCTGGCGGGGCTGCGGGAACCTGATAAGCTCAGCCCAAGCCCGCGCGGAGTTCCAAGAACCGCACTGGGCGCAGCGCTGGCCGCGGTTCAATGACCCGTTCCTGACCCCCCCCCGCACCACCGTCACCCCCGCTGCGGCCGGCTCCCACGCTCCCACGCCTGGAGGGCTGCCCACGGCCCCCAGCCTGCAGCTCGCACCGGCGGGCCCACGGGCCAATGCACCCATGGGCCGATGCACCGACGCGTCAGCGCAGCTGTGACCCCACACACTCTGCCTCGCCACGGACATGACCACAGCATCGAGGTCTGAGACCCCGAAGGGAGCCAGGGCGCCTGGTTCTCCCCCAGCCCCGCACCCCAGAACAGCCTGTCCCCCGCCCCTTGGCTCTCCCTGCTGAGGGGCACAATCCTGGACAGAGCCGGAGCTTTTCCCTGGGGACAGGCAGTGCTGGGTCAGTATGGCAGCCCCAGGGTGCATGGCCAGTCTGCCACCAGTGTCCTCGCAGCCCTCCGTGTCCATGCCAGGCAGCCCGGGGCAGGGCAGGGTACCCCCCACCCCTGGGGGACGTGGTGGTGCTCGCTGGGGAGCTTGCGGGGGGGCCCGTGGGGTTGAGCGAACACGGCAGCAGCCATGCCGGGAGCCTGCACTCTCCTGCTTGCACCGCGGGGCCTCTCCCAGCCCGGCCGCTCGATAACCCCGTGTTTGCGCAGGCGGGGCTGGGACGGGTGCCCTCACTGCGGTGGCAGCCCTGGCTCTGCCCCACGGGTGCCTGCCCGGCGCTGCCCCTCCGGCCCCCCGCTCCCTGCCAGCCCCTCGCAGCAGGGCAGCTCCCTCCTTCCCCGAGGATGAGAGCAGCCCCCTCGCAGCAGGGACAACCCCCTGCGTCCATTCAGGAAACCTTTGGCCCCCCGAACCTGCCAGGCCAAGGGCAGGACCGTGGCACCGCGGCAGAGAGGGCGGCACCACTGGCACCCAGCACCCAGAGCCACCCCCCGTCCTGGCACAGGGCGATGCTGTGCTGGGATGCTCAGCCCTTGGCCGCGCAGGTGTCTGGGGCAGGAGGTCCCTGTCCTCATCCTCTCGGCCCCACCACAACAGCTCTGCATCCCACTGGAGCCCGCTCCTGCCAAAAAGCCCCTCCCGGCCTCCCGGCTGCCGGTGATGGTTCGAGCGTGGTGACGGTGCCAGACCCCGGCTCGCCCTGGCTGCCTCTGCCCGGCTGTGGGGGGCCCAGGAGGCCCCACTTACCCCCTGCCCGTCCCCTCGGTGTCCCCGGCCCCCCTCTCTGGGCTACCAGCTCTGGCACTGGCTGGCCCGGGCACAGCGGCTTCGGTGCGGCTGCCAGGCAGCTCTGCGTTTCCGGGCAGGAGCGCGGAGCCAGTTTTACCGTGGGGTTGAGACAAAGTCCACAGGCGATGGCCAGGGAGCCGGGGAGCACACCGCGCCCGCGGCTGGGTGTGTGCTGGGCTCCTGGGCTGGCACTGGGCAGAGCCGGTGTCCCACCGCCCCGGGAACGGGCCCTGGCAGCAGGGACACAAGCAGGACCCACACTGGCCCGGGGGTGGGCAGAGACCCATGGGCACGTGGCGACAGGACCTGGGGGGCCCTGACCCGAGCGCTGCCCCTTGGGACTAGCAGGAACCCGGGCTGCCACGTCCCCTTCCCCTGGGCACTCCCGCCAGCATCGTGCCTGCATCCCTGTCCTCCCAGCATCCCGGTCCCCACCCACCGCTTCCTCCCTGCATCTCTGGCGCGTCCACGTGTCCATCCCCTCCGTGCCGGGGCCAGGATGGTGTCCCAACCACGCTGCCCTTACTTGTGCCCTGGGCTCCAGGGTGGCAGGGAGGACCTGCCGCAGTGGGGTGCACCCTTGCCTGGTGTCACCATCAGTCTGGGGACGGACACCTCTGGGGCAGTGTTGGGGGCTGGAGACGTGCAGGGATGTGAAAATACCATGTTCATGCCCCTGCCTCTGCCCCATGCCAGTTGGCTCCAGCGCTGCCAGGGTGGGCGTGGGGCTCTGTGTGCCAGCAGTGAAGGGCAGAGGCGGTGGGGATCCCCCATGTGCTGCCAGCCGGGCTGCTGGGCTGGCATCGGCCCTGCCGGGGCTCGCCGGTGACGGCGGGTGATGGAGCTGAGGAGGTTGAAGCACCAGGCAGCCAGGGCAGCACAGGAAAGCTGCCAAGCAGAGGGAGGGCTCTGTCACCCCCAGTGACAGCACGAATGGCCCCACATGTGGTTCCTGCACCCATGAAACAGCCCGAGGGGAGAGGCTGGGGGGGGCCTCTGGGCAGGGACAAGAGGAGCCTCAGCCCAGGCAGGGAAGCGGCAGCAGAGCCCATCCCCATCCTCCTCATCCTCCCCATCCCCAGCATCCCTATCCCCATCCCCAGCATCCCCGGCATCCCCAGCATCCTCATTCTCATCATCCTCATCCCCATCATCCCCATCCCCATCATCCTCATCTCCATCATCCCTATCCCCATAATCCTCATCATCCTCATCCCCATCCTGATCTCCCCTGGCATCCTCATTCTCATCATCCTCATCCCCACTGTCCCCATCCCCATCACCCTCCCCACCTTCCCCATCCCCAGGACCCCCAACCTGGCCCCTTCCCCCCGTCGGGGTGCCAAGCACGGGTGCCAAGCGTTGGGGTGCCGGCCCCGGTCCCCATGCAGCGGGCGGAGGCTGGCTGTTCACACAGTTTATTTGCTCGGTTCGGGTGTCTTACAAACAACGGGGAGGGCCGGGGCGGGGGGAACTTCAAACGGCTTCGGCACAAGTGGAAAGCACGGGAGCGCGGGAAGTGCACTTCAGCGGAGCCAGGCGGGGGGCGGCGGGGGCTGGCCGGGATGGGGCTGGGGCGCACGGCCGGGCTCCTCCGCCTGCTGCTGCTCAGCCCCGGCCCTGCAGCGGCCTCATCCTGCTCCCTGCCGCCGCGGGGGCCAGATGGGGCCGGGGCCGAAGCCAACCGAGGGTCAGGGGATGCTAAGGGTGGGAGGGGGCCCTGGCTTGGGGTCGAGGCGGGGGGGGGGAATTGCAGGACACGGGGTGGGATGGGGCGAATGGTGCTGGTCCCCAGCGAGGGGGTGGTGGGAGGTGACATGTGTCCTCACTGGGGACCTGGCCCTGGCCCAGCCCCCCAGGATCGACAGGGCAGATGCCCCGCAGCATCCAGCCCCCTGCTCTGTGGTGATGGGGCTCCAGTGATGCCCATCTGCAGGAGAGGCTCCCCCTTCCCACCCCGGGGGTGCCAGCCCTGACCCCCCTCCCTTCCCCAGCTCTACTTCTCCCAGAGGCTTTTGGTGCCCATCCAGGGCTTGGGGCCAGGGTCCCCCCAGGAGGACTGGCACGGCAGCACCATGTGCCCCCCGCAGACCCCGACCCCTCCCCTATCCCTGCAGTGACTCCACGATGGGGAAAACTGCAGCCTGGGTGGTAACTGGGGGGCAACTGGGATGTCATGGAGGGGGGTCACTGCTCACAGGAGGGAGGTGGCGGGGAGGGAAGGCCTTGGGGGGCTGAGCCCCATCCCTGGCTGCTCTACCACCCGTACCCCGGCAGGCTGGGCAGTGCGAGGGCTGCTCTGTACACACTTCACTGGGGGCTCGTGGGGTCCCTGGGGACTCGCTCGGCCACGTCGGGCAGCTGGGACACGGGCCCCTGCGCTGGCCAAAGCTCCTGTGCCCTGGGGACGGGGGGCACCGAGTACCCAAAGCAACCCCAGTCCAGGGCTGGCACACAGGGCCCCGAGCCCCAGCGGGTTTGGGACAAGGCTGGTGGGAGATGGGACCCCCCTGGGGGCTGCCCCCGTGCTGGGGCAGGGCAGGGCCGTGCCCCCAGCCCGCTGGCCCCACGAGTTGGGCTCAGCGGGAGCCCTGTGCCCAGTGCCCACGAGATGTGTCAGCCGCTGCAGCAGAAGCGCCCAGGCTTTGGGCAGGGGTCAACACCCATGGGTGCTGCCGTGGGGCCCCCCCGCCCTCCCTGCCCGCCCCAGCAGGTCTCAGTGGGGAGGAAACGCTGGTGCTGGTGGTGAAATCCCCGCTGAAGGGCTGGGGCGTGGGGTGGGGGGAGCGGGGAAGGCTGCTCGCAGCCCCGGCACAGACATGGCATCCCAGGGACACCCTCCGTGGGACACCAGACCCCCGGCAGCTCCCAGTCCCGGTCCCTGGGGTGAACTGGGCTGCTCTGCTCATCTGGGGGGGGCCTGACGCTGCAGCCCGGGGCCCCATGAAGCAGGTCTGCAAACCTGCCATCGCCGGGCAGCGGCGGCAGGAGGGGGGCACGGTGCTGGGCCACCCTCCCACTGCTGTGAGGGGGCACGGGAGCTCCCGTCCCGTCCCCGTCCCCATGGGGCTGGGCCCCCCCAGCTCCCCCTTCCCTCGCTGCCATCGCCACCTCCATCGCCCCAGGAGAACACGGCCACCCGGCCACCTCAGCCGAGATGGAGGAATGGCCCCGCGGGAGCCTGTGGCACTGGTAGCTGGATGGGGCAAGGAGCTCATGTACGGGGAGCCGAGTCCAGGGAGCAGAGCAGGGTCTCCCACCCGCAGCCCTGGGGACAGGCTGGGGCTGACCCCACGGGAGCCATGTGTGGCCCACGGCCCCCCACGAGCTCCTGAGCACCGTGGAGGGGATGCTGCCCTCAACGCCCTGCCCTCGCTCCATCCCAGCGGGGCTCACGGCTTGGGGAGCCCGGGGATGAGGATGCGGGATGGAGCGGGGCTGTCCGTGGGCAGCCGGGGCGGGGGGCGAACAGCCCAGGGCCTTTCCCTGCAGAAGTGGATGATGGAGGAGCAGAGAGAGGGGCTGGCACGGGGCTGGTCCCGCCGGCTCCCCAGGAGTCACCTACAGACACAGTGGCACCCGATCGCCCAGCCCGGCCGTGTCCTCCACTAGCGGGTGGGAAGGTGCCGGTGAGAGGAGGGAAAGGCTCCGGCGTCGGTGGCAGGATGGCCCCGGCGTGGGGTGAGGCCGGGCCGTGGGGCGAGGGGCGGGGGGTCTCTAATAAATATCACAGGCAGCGCTGGTGGGGTGCGGCGTGGGGCGGGTGGACGGGGCGAGCGGTGCTGCGGTTCGCTGCTGCCTGCCGCGGCTCCGCAGGCGCCGTGTTGGTTCTCCCTGGTTCTGCAGAAAGAGGGTCCGTGTCCGGTGGGGGAGGGAGCCCGGCGTGCCGGGGCGGCGGGCCTGGCTAGCGGGGGCCGGGGCGGAGGGGGGCTCGGCGGGGGCGGCCTGCTCTGGCGCGGGGCCGGCGCGGCTCACATCACCGTGCAGCACTTGCAGCGCTGCTTCTTCGCGTCCGTCTCCTGCTCGGCCTCCTTGGCGTCCGTGGCGTTGGCACCCGGCTTCTGCCCGCCCGCACCCTCCTCGCCCGGCGGCTGGGCGGCCGCCGGCTCCAGCGCGGTGCCGTTGGGCGGCGCGTGGTCCTTGCGCGCCGGCTCCGGCTTGCTCTCGGCGTCCTCGATCACCACCAGCTCGGCCTTGATGGTGCCCTCCAGCCCCAGCACCTTCTTGGTCTCGTCCTCGTCCTCCACGTTCTGGTAGCCCATGAAGATCATGGTGACGGGCTGCTCGCGGCTCGGCTCCGGCCCCTCTCCCGGCGGCAGTGCCGCGGTGCTTTCCCGCGCCTTGGCCTGCAGCCCCGTGATCTCCCGCCGCGGCGTCGGTTTCTGGCTGGCCGGGCCGCTGCCGGCCCCCTCTCCCGCCTTGGCCGGGGGCTCACGCCCAGCGCCTTCGCTCAGGGTGGCCTCGTCCGCCTTGTGCAGGAGCTCGTCGACCTCGGAGGAGCTGAGGGGGTGGGCCCCGTTCTGCAGAGCCCCATCCTCGGCGCTCACCGCGTGCACCACTGCGGGGACAAGAGGAGGGAGGGTGAGGAGGGGGGGCTCGGACTGGGGGGCGCGGGCACAAGTCCACCTGGAAAAGCTGCTGCTGGTGCGACCCGCTCGGACCTGGCTCCAGGGAGTGGCACCTCCCCATCCCCATTTGCCCTGGCAGTGATGCCGGGACCCCCCGGCAGCACCCTGACCCCCCACCTCAGCCGGGAGCTGCTGCCTGGCCCCTGCCCGACTGCAGACGGGGATGCTGAAACAAAAGCACAACGTGAGGAGCCGTTCCCGGCCCTTGGCACCTCCGAAGGCTCAGACTCAGCAAGCCCTGCGGCCGCCTGCCAAGTCGCCGACAGCCTGCCAAGCTGGCCGCGCTCGCCGCGGCGGGACAGCACCCGGGGCCGACGCGATGCTCCGTGGCACACCGCCCCTGCCACCATAAAACCCCAGCGAGCACCCGGGGGGTGCTGCCCCGCTGCATCCCCCCCATCCCGCTGCCTGTGGCGCCCGGTGGCCCCGTGCCCGGGTTGGGGAAGGGGCTCTTCCACCTCCGGCATGCTTTGCACGGCTGCTTGTGGTGCCGGGGGGCCGCAGACGTGCGTCACGGCGAGAGCAGCCTCCGGATGGTCGCATTTTCCACTCACGCGATGATCGGCGCAGCGGCTGTGGCAGCCGGTCGATGGTGCAATGGCCAGCGGCCAGCACGGCTGCCCCAGGCCGGTCGCTGCTGGGGCGGCTCCTCGGCCCGTCCCCGGAGCCGGGGGTCCCGGAGCAGCGGGGGGGCTGAGCCAGGCGGCTGGCGGGGTGACGGCCAGCAAGGCCACGGCCACCCTGGGGGCATGGAGCGGGACCGGCGGCTGGTGCAGCGCCGTTTCCTCGGAGAGGCGGTCAGTCCTCTCGGCCGCTACAGTCCCCAGTAACGTGCCCCAGCGCCATGGCTGGTCCTTGCCGCTGACGCAGCCATCCCTCTGGTGCCACCAGGCCCTTCGAAGCAGGTTCCCAGAGGTCCCCAAAAGGCTGCAGGCAGGGACCAGTCCCTATTGCTGCGCCCGGAAGCCACGCTCCCCTCTGCCAGCGGTGCCGGTGCCGCTCTCCCTGCCCACGGGACGGGCTCCCAAGTCTCGGACAAGGCAGATCCTCTTCTCCGCTCTCCAGTGGCGCAGGGTCACGATGTACAAACCAGGGCTGGCCCCTCGGGACCGTCTACGCCATGTCGCCAGGACAGCCAGGGTGCAGGATTGGGGCCAGCGCGGGGTTGCCCTGAGCTGTCTCCCCTGCAGAGCCGGCGAGCACGGCCGGAGCAGCCCCAGCTCTTCCCAGCACTGGTGCCCAGTGAGCTGCTGGGGCGGCCGCTCCCTCGTCCCCTGCCCTTTGCTCCTGACGCCGCCGAGCAGCGCGGGCCGCGCCGTACCTTTCAGCTCATCCTCGTACACTTTGACCCCCTGCAGACAGTGGTTCTGGGGGAGCAGGGTGGTGCTGGACAGGACCTTGGTCTCCCCAGTCACTCTGTCCTTCTCCACCGTGATTTCCACCGAGTACATGGCTGGGACACAAAGAGGACAGTGCGCGTTACGGCGGCCCCGGCCCTCCCCAGCCCCTGCTCAGCAGCCAGCAGCGGGCAGGCGCATGGCAGCAGCGGTGCTCAGTGGCACGGTGCTCAGCGGCGCAGTGCTCAGAGGTGTTAGCAAGGCAGAAGGCGGCAGTGAGGAGGAGTGATCAGCAGAGGTGGGTGCGATGTCCCGGGCACAGCTACCATCCTGGAGCTGCTGGCATCACCTTACCTTTGCAGCTCCTGCGTCCCCCCGGCCCCAGAGGCACCGGGCCAGGCGGTGCCATGTCCGTCTGTCTGGCAGCTTGTGGTGGTGCCGGCCGCAGGAGCCTGTGCTGGGAGCCAGGCTCGTGCTTGGGGCGGGGGGGCGGTGGTGCCCGCTGAGAGTGCTGACGTGGGGGCAGCCCCTCCACCCCTGCATCCTTGGCATCTCTCCTTCGGCTCCTGGCCTGTCCCTGCCAGCACCTGGGTCCCCTCAGCCCGGTGGAACTTTGCTCCGAGGACCCCCAGACAGGCTCTACCCAGCGCCGGTCCGAGCCACCCCGCCAAACCAGAGCAAACCCCTCCAGCAGCAGAGCCAGCCACAGACCCCCCACGTGGGCAGGTCACCCCGGCGAGCCCCCCACCAGCATCCAGCCACGGGGCCGTGGGCGCTGGTGAGGGGTCAGCCATGCCGGCAGCCGACGCTCTGCTCCCCCTCCCACGCTCCGAGAAGCCTCAGACAGAGCGGGAGGTGCAGGATGGCTCCGGAGCAGAGACATGGAATGGGGGGGTGAAGAGGGGGTGAGGGGCTGCAAACCATGAACCAGCTGCAGGGAGGAAGCGAAAACAAACCCTCTGATTGCAAATATCTGACGTGCTCTCCCTCGGGCTTGGAAAGGCATCGAGCGGCAGGGAGCGGCGGGTGGCAGGGCTGCGGGGCGGCGAGCCGAGGGGCGGTGCGGGGGGAGCGCCCGGGAGGGAGCCCCCCTCCCGGGGACGCGGGCACCTACCTGCCTTCATCAGGTCCGTGCCTTCCACCGCCTTCATGGGGCTGCTGGAGACCTTCTTCTCGGCTGGAAGCGGAGAGGAGAGGCGATTGCCTGAGCCGAAATGGTCACCTGGTTGGTCGCGCGTCCACGGGACGGGCCCCGGGGAGGGTGGCGTGTCCCCCCCCGCCGCAGGGCACCGCTGCCGGGAGGGGACGGGGACATGGGGACGGGGCTGCCCCAGCTCCCCCCCCCACGCCCAACCCCATCCAGCCCCAGTGTCGGGGCAGCACAAGGGACGTGACGGGCACTGCCCCCCGACAGCGGGAACCGCAGCTGAGGCCGGGATCACCTACCCTTGGCTGCGCTCAGGGGACTCTGCAAAACAAAGGGAGAAGTTAGGAGCTGCTGGGAGATGCCGCGGATGGCCCGCCTGCACACCCAGCCCCCGCGCACCTGTCCCCACCGGGGCAAGGGACCCCCAGCCCAGCCCCACTGGCACAGCATCAGTAGGGCAGGGGCTCGGACAGTGACAGGGGCGCATGGGTGGGCAGTATGCCCAGCACGGCACTGGACTGGGAACCCCCGCAGCCTTGCCAGCGCCCCGGTGCAACCCCACAGCTCGGACCCCCCCGCCAGTGCAATCTGCCCGCCGCCACCCCAGCGGGTCCCTGCTTCGGTCTGGAGGGTGCTGAGGAAGCTCCGGCCCCCCCAGGCACCCCCTCTCCCCACTGACCCCCCTGCTGCGGGCAGCCGCCATGCCCACCTTCGGCGCATTGGGGATGGCCTCTGCCTTCCCCTCCTTGGCCGGTGCTGCCGCCTCTGCCAGGTTCTCCTTGGTGGAAGCTACTGAGTTGCCGTTCTCCAGCGTCTCCAGCTCCTTCTCCAGCCTGGGGGGAGAGTCGGGGCTGAGAGGCTGTGGGCAGCCACATCACACCTGAGAGTGGGGCTCAGCAACATGGCACAGGGGATGGGGGGGGCACCATCGGCCCACGGGGCTCGCAGGGTGCAGGGACAGACAGACCGACCTCCAGCACGGCCACCACCACCTCTTTTCCGGGGAACGTGTGCACTTGGTGGAGCAAACCCGGGGGCCTCGCGGTGTGGGGACTCCGACCCCACGGGGCCTCTTGCTGTGCCGGTGCGGTGACACCGTCCTCCCCGCCGTGCCACACGGAGCCTGTTTTGGGACGGCTGCCCGTTCCCAGCCGCCGAGCCCAGCCAAGAGCGGTGCCGGCAGCAGGGCCCTGCTGGGACGTGGCAGGGGTCTGGGGAGTCCCCACGGGTTCTGGCCTGTTCAAATGGCAGCACCCCCCGGCAGGGCCCCCCCTTAACGCCCGTCTCCCCGCGAGGCGCCGGTGGAGGAATGCAGCGCACCATTAGACGGACACAAAGGCCCCTTCGTGCCTGACCCCTCTCTGCACCAATGCTTGGTAATTAACGGCACAGCCGTGACTGATTGCATTCTTGCAGCCCAGCCGGGCTGCCGGGACACCCCCATACCAGGGCTCCCGGCCCCCCCTGCCTTCATCAGCCCAGGCATGAGGGGGCTGGGCAGGGGCTGAGGCTTCTCTCCTCCCAGCCTCCCACCCTGTCCCTTCCCAAGGGCTGAGCCGCCGCGCTGGGGACTGACGTTTGCAGGGAACCAGCCGCCTGCTTCCCTGCGCCTGCAATCCTGGGTGCTGGGCCCTGAACAGCCCCCCCAAGGCAACTCGGCCCCCAGCCCCACTGCTCCCACGGATGCCCTGCAAAGCCTGTGGCTCCCACAGCCCCGGGCAGAGCACGGCCGGGGGGTGTCCGTGCTCACAGGGGTCATGGGGCTGGATGGGCTCCGGGACTGGCTGCAGACCCTGGGCAAACGCTGACAGGAACCCGGCCGGAGGGTTGATGGCGAGAGCGGCCGAGCCCTGGCAGCGCTGCGGAGGCACCTCCTCTCCCAGCAGCTCCGAGCTCCCGAACGGGGCCGTGGCAGAACCCAAGCGGCGTGCAGCGTGCCTCATGCCCGGTGCCCAGCGCATGGGACCGGGCTGCAGCTCAGCCCCGTCTGCTCAGGGGGGTCCCTGCAGAGGCTCAGGCAGCCTCTGGGCACACCCCGACACCCCGGCCCCACGCCATCCCGTTACCTCTGGATGGTTTCCTCCAGCTCCTTGGTCTTCACCTCATCCTCCTGCATCTGCTTCTTCATGGCCTCGTCCTCCTCAGAGGCTGAGGCCGGGGCCCCCTCCAGCAGCCATCTTTCCCGCAGAGCCTTGGACTGGGGAGCGGAAGGGGGGTCACGGTGCTGCCACCCCCGCAGCCAAGGGGTCCCCGGTGCGTCCCCAGGGGTCCCGGGGATCCTCACCTTGAGGTGCTGTAGCTGCCGCCTGTCATCCTCGAGCTGCCGCCTTTTGTTCTCGATCTCTGTCTGACGTTTCCGCTTCTCCTGGAGGGACGAGAGCGGCAGAGCCGGGGTCGGCCGGGATGGGGGCACCTCCCTCCCGGCCAGGGCAGCACCCCCAGAGCAGGGAGGAGCAGGGAGCTGGGGGGTCCGGGAGGGCTGACGTGGGGCCACGAGCCGTGCCCAGAGCTGTGAGCCTGGCCTTGGGGACAGCCCACCAGGAGCTCCCCAGCCCAGTGCCACATCCCTGCCCTCACTGGGGGAAACTGAGGCACGGGGGGCACAGAGAAATCAGGGCAGATCCTGGAGTCTGTTCACCGTCTCAAAGCATCACCTTCCCCTCGCCTGGCCCTGGCAAGCGAGCTGCCAGCACGGGGACAACCAGCCCCCCCGGGCCGGTGTGGATCATTTCAGCAGGGTCAGGCCCAGCCTGGGAAGCGTCACCCGCCCTCTCCCTCCTCCAGCCCAGAACAATTTTCCCTTTGTGTGGCGGAGATGGGCCAGGGAAGCTGGCAGCCCGCGGCGGGCAGGGGAGCTGTGCCGGGGCAGCGCCGGGGCTTCAAACCAGCCCAGCACCCTGCTCTGTGCTGGGGCGGGGCCGCCCAGGGCAACCCCCGCTGTTCACTAATTAATATAATTACTAGTGCCCAGAGCAGGCCAGGCTCGATCATGCACCGTCCTTAGCCTGTCCCTGGGAAAGGATGAGGTGGGAATTGTCACTCATTTCCCTCCCACTCGGGGCTCGTCAAGGCGTTGTTTCATTAATTAAAACTCCCAGCTGCCCATCACTTGCTCTTGTGCCTCTTGCAGCAGCGCAGAGCCAAGCCTGGCCGGATCCTGCCCCCACGTTCCCGGGAAGAGCCTCCGCAGGGTAGGACACCCCAGCACGGGCTCCCAAGAGCCCTGGTTTGGCTGCTGGAGACCCCCAGCCCCGGGACTGGGCACCCGTGAGGGCTCCCTGGACCCCCTGCGCCCTCACAGCCCCCCTGCGCCCGTGCTCTCCTTCCCCCCCGTGCTGCAGGCGATGCCCCGGGGACGCCAGCTCGGGGTCCGGCGCACTCTCCCAGCGCTGGCAGCGCGCGGGGGACTCACCGCGATGGCCTGCAGCCTCTCCTGCTGCAGGGTGCTGGGCTCCACAACCCTGCAAGAGAGCAGAGAGGAGGAGTGAGGAGCGTGGGCAGCGGGAGCACGGGGACACTGTGCTACCAGTGAGCCGGACACGCTCTCCCTTTCCCCTTGCCCCCCTGGAGCCAAGCACCCCTTGCCCGCCCGGCTCCTCCAGGCACCCCTCTGCCCAATCCCCTGGGACAGGCACCGAGGGTGACCCGGCGCGGCCAGACCCACTCCTCCGATGGAAACGGTGACCACGGAGGGGCTGGCAGGGGACGGTTCTGGCCGCCCCCGCGGTTCAACCTGGCTCACAATTTCCATTCCAAGCCCATTTCTTGGCTGCCGACACCTTTCCTAGACAAGGACCTTTCCGGGCTGCGCGCACAGGCACGCGCACGCACATGTGCACAGACACACGGACGCATCCGGACACGCGTGCACAGACAGACGGACACACAGACATTGCAGCAGGCGCCGCTCCAGCGCAGGTTCGTGCTCCCAGGCCCAGCACCCACCTCCGCAGCACAAACCGCCGCGGCCGTGCCGGGGACGCTGCTGGCGGCAGCCGCCTCGCTGACCCCCACCCAGCTCTCCTGGGTGCAGCTGGGCCCCGGGGTGCCGCGAGGACGGGGTGCCCTGACCCCCCGCAGCCACATGCCCGCCCTCCCGGGTCCCAGCAGCACGACCAGCAGTGCGGCCCCATGGGGCACGGCAAGAACCCCCCCGGGTGCGAAGCATCAGGTGCAGGTTCAGCAGGCGGGAGCCGCGGCGCGGGGCCGGGGGCCCAGCTGCGCCTGGGGATGCTCCGGCGCCGCAGAGAGCCGGCTGGCCGCTCGCCAGATGATGCTAACGAAGGGCTTAGCTGTGACAATAATTAGGGTGGGAGGCGCGGAGGTGTCGTCAGGCGATGGATCTCAGAGCAAGGGACAGCAGAGCCTGCGAGGGGGGACACCGGCGTGGAGATGCTGCTCCAGGCTCCAGTCCCCACAGCTGAGCTCTTCCTCCAGCTGCTCCCTTGCACCCGGGGCCGCCTGCGCTGCTGCCCTGGAGGAGGCGGGAGGAAACCCAGGTGGGGTGTCCGCACGCCCCAGCCCAGCATGAGGTCTGGCCCTGGCCCCTGCCCGTGGCTCTTCCTGCAGCCGGTGGGTCTCGGGGCAGAGCTCTTGGACTTCATTTATGCCGGTGGCTAAGCGCACGTCCATTTTTGCAGCTCCCTGGAACTCCGGGCCCGGCTGAGCGCAGGGAGCCGGGATGGCTGATGTGCACGGGCCAGCGGGATGCCCTGCACCCGCCTCTCCCCGGTCGGTCCCCGCATGCCCAGCCGGGCCTGAGGGCTTTGGAAACACAATTAAAACAAGAGGCAGACAGTCCAGTCCCTTCCCAGCGGGCAGGATGGGGACGCAGAGCAGCCGCAGGGCCACCGGCAGTCCCAGCCCATGGGGGGATGTCTTGGACAAGGGGGGACAGGGAGGGGTGGGCAGTGCCGTGTCCCCAGCACAGCGGGAAAAGCCATTAGCATCGAGCGAGTGCCAAAAGCCTGATCCCACCCCAGCCTCAGCGCGGCTGCGTGCTCAGGGGCCGCAGACCCGCCAGCACAGGGCGAAGCCATCCCCGGCTTCATCCGGCACCAACCCCAATGGGAGCTGAGCCGAGGCCTGGGGGGGCGGCCCCATGCCCAGCAGCCCCAGCCCAGCTCGGGGTGCCCGTTTTGGAAGACAAGATGGTCCGAGGTGCTGCCTGGCACCCCGGCGGGGGGGCACCGACCCCACTCCCCAGGTTTCCCCCCATCCCTCCTTTCCCCCCACTGCCGCATCATCTGCTCCCCTGGGGACACTGGCTGGGCCGGGAGATCTCCTTCACACTCCCACTATGGGCTTTTTCCAAGATGGTTTTACACACGGGGAGGGTGTGAGATGCTGCGCCCCATGCACGGTGCCTCCCTGGGCTGGGCTCTGGCTGCACATGTGGCCTTGCACACGCATGTGCCCTCGCACATGCATGTACCCTCACACGAGTCCTCCGCCGGCGGGGACAGCAGACGCCTGTGCAGGAGCTGGGCTTTGCAGCAACCAAGTGGGCTCTGCCAGGCGAAGGGACCCCCCGCCTCCGCCTGCCACAATTAACCAAAAACTGCCCAGAGCCACACGTCCTCCCCTCACCCCCCACCCCGGGGTGAAATCCAGGCCAGAAAAAAAAAACGGGGAAGGTGTCGCTTTTGCAGCGGTTATTTTTGCGCTGTTTGTGGCCGTTTTGCAGGCGCAGGCACACACCCGCTGCTGGCAGACTCCCCGTGTGTCACGCCTGGCAGTCCGCGCCCTGGACAGAAACTAAATAATTACAAACCCAAAGAGAGTCCGTGAGTCCCTCTGCCGTCCCCGCTCGCTCTGCGGCTGCTCCCTGCCCGGCTGCGCGGGGTCTCAGAGCAGCAGCACCCGCACAGGCACAACGGGGGGGCGAGGGGCTGACCCCACTCCAGCCCCAACTGTCCCAAACACCAGCTGCACCCAGCAGACTCCCCCACGGCAGGAGCCAGTCCCTCGTGGGGAGAGGAGCTGGGGGACAGTGGGTTTCCCAAGGGGAACCTCCTCAGCCGACCCGCCAGGGCCGTGCCCGGGGTCTCGCCTCACCCCGGACACAGGAGAACTTTCTTTCCCAGCAAAGACAGACCAAAAGCGGTTGCACAACTCAGTGACGGAGCTGTGACAAGGACGGCGATGGACCCAGCGGGCCCCCACGAGACACCCCCAGCGCGTGGGAGTGGGGCACAGGGCCCTGGCGGGGGGAGCACGGAGCGGGTGCTGGGAGCAGCACCCACATCACGGCCCCCTGACCTGCCCCAGGCTCCAGCCCAAGGGGTGAAAGCTCCCCTTCCCCCCCAAACCAGCGAGGGACCCCCCGGGATTCGAGGGAGGCAGCCGGGGCAGCTCTCTGCAGAGACTGATTATGTGCAAAAGTTGAAGGGAGGAACTGGCGGCCGATGCACCCTGCCCCGAGCCGCTGTGGGGCCAGGCTGGCACCAGCCCCACAGTGCTGGGGCTGCCCTTGGCTGCAGGACCCCCCACTCCAGCTCTCAGCACCCCAGACTCAGAGGGCTTTGGACCAGGGCCTGTTCCTCTCCTGGATCTTGCCCCATTTGATGGATCCAAACTTTTACAGCATTCCTGAAACGTTCTGTTCTGCTTTTCCTCCCTCCTCCATCCTCTTTATTTTCCATTATTTGCTACAGTCTCTGCATTCCCGGGTCGAACGCCAGGAATCTTCCTGGCCCAGGGAGAGACGCGAAACAGGCTGGATGCCCCCGGCTGCTCCCTCCCGGCCCCCCCTGCCTCAGCAGCCTGTGCACCCTGGCCCTGCCCCCAGCTCCTGCCCCGGGGGGGCTCACCCATTGCTGCCAGACCCTGGCGAGAGCGGGGCAGAGCGGGGACAGCCCTGCTGCCCCCAGGTCCCTGCCCACCAGGACAGGGTGACAAGGCCAGGGGAGGTCCCATGCCCCCCACCAGCCCCCGGGTCCCACTGTGTCCAGTCCCTGGGGGTCCCACGACAGGACCCTGCTGCTGGGGACAGGAAAGCAGAGCCCTAGGGCCCAATCCGGGGTGGGGGAGACCCCTGCCCCAGACCTTCCCCACACCACGGCACAAAACAGAGCAGATCCCGCCTGCCCCCATCCTTCTTCTCCTCCTCCACTGCTGCCGGGGGGGGGGTGGTGGTGCCGGCAGCCCCGGGCTGGGCCGGTGCCGAGGGGGCCCCGCAGCCACCGGTCCGGTGAGTGATGCCTCTGCTGAGCTGGGAGGCGGTTCCCTGGCAACGGCTCCATGGCAACGGCGCCATGGCAACAGGGCGAGCGGGGGGATGTGCAGCACGGGTGGAGGGAGCGAGGGGCCCCCCCGGCCCGACCCCCCCCGGCAGGCCAAGGCCAGGACCCACCAGAACCCTCGGCTGTGCCATTACAAGCTCGGGATCCATCCTGGGTGCTGGGGAGGGGCAGAAAGGGGCCACCAGCCCCTCAGCAGCCGCGAGCCCAGAGAAGACCCCCCCCCCAGCAAGCCCTTCCTCCCCCCCTCATTTCACCCGGTTAACAAGCTCATGCTTTTCCGCCCCGCGTCGGCTGCGCGCACATCCCAGGGCAGCTCCTCAAGCCGTTTCCGCAGGCACCGCGCAGCACGGAGAGCCATGGGCCGTGGCGCCAGGGATCAGGTTGACGGGACGAGGGAGGCACCGGGGGGGGGGGGGGGTGGGGTGTGTGACGCCCCGGGAACTCCCACCTGCAAAGGCAGCAGTCCCTGGACCCCCCGACAGATCCACACACACGTGTGAGCACACACGCGCCCCGTGCACGTCCCCGCGCTCTCCCTTGTCTCTCCAGCTCTTTCCAGCCCTGCTGATGCTGCCGTTTCCTACCATCACAAGGGAAGCCCGTG